AACCCGTGACCTTGGTGTTATAAGGTTACACTCCAACCAACTGAGCTAACTGGCCAACCTTAGTTTGCTTATTGGATGCTGGATCTCTTGGTACTGGTGTGCTGTAGAAGTCAGGTTTCTGATGCGACAAAGCCTTGGTTTTCTTGCTGACCATTGTTTTTCCAGTCCTTAGCACAGTGCCTGACACACAGCGGTGCTCTTTGAATTTTTATATTATCCAAATGAATCCCTACATTAGCTAAGTCAATGATGCATATTATTGACCTTTCACTTCTTTTGCCATTTACCTCCCAGAATTGTGGAGTGTATTATGTTATCAAATCAGCAAGCAAAATGTACCATTTTCCTCAGCAGGCATTTCATTGTATGGCCCAGCTATGGCAAGAACCATAATGAGTTTTCTGTATGGGTCAGAGGGTAGGAATTTGATCTTACTCTCCTATGGCTTGGCTGTGCGTCATCCTTGAATGACATCTGGCAAAGTCCCAGGATATAACGCTAACCTCGTATGACTTTTACCAAAAAGCCTAGTCCAGGTCTGAGGTTGCCTTGGAAGATTCCTGTGAATCTAATAGGGACACAGGGTATAATGCACTTGCCTAGATCGGGGGCCATGAGCCCCAAGTCCAGCCTGATGGCTGTCTTTCCATTTCACCCCACACCCTCCCAGGGTCTAAGGGAAACAAGAGCCAAGTCGGTATATCATGGCCTCACAGACATTTGGGAGCATCACAAAGCCATTGCCCTAATTGCTCTCAGTTGAGGGATTATACCAGCCCGTGCTCCAAACTCCCCCACAACCTGACATTTAGGAGCAGTCTTAAAGCTAACTCAGGGAGAGCTTTGCTCAAATTACTGGGCCAGTATTATATGAGAGTGAGGTTGCTGAGGAGAATGAGTCAGACACTAATCCTTTTGCTAGGAGCTGAGAAACAAAAAAAGGCTGGCAAACCTTTAATATTTTAATCACTTCCTTCCAGAACAATAAAGGGGATTCAATATTCCACTCACAGTTGTATATTACCACATTCCCACAAAGTACCTTGAGCTATTACCTCAAGATATCAGCCCTCAGCTTTTTCCTTTCATCTGTGTTCAAGTTTAACTTCCAACCATTAAATTTTAGAAAATCAAGAATTAAATTTTCCTTTGGTGATTTTAGTTGCAAATATTGGAACCAAAGAATATTTAAACCTTGTTGCTTACTAGAAAGATTCTTAAGAGTTTTGAAATGCCTCCTGGGAATGACAACCAAAAGTAATGTGGTGTCCTGGATGAGATCCCAGAATAGAAAAAGGGCATTAGGTAAAATGTAAGGAAACCTGAGTAACATTTGGACTTTAGTTTATAATAATGTATCAATATTGGTTCATTAATTGTGACAAATATACCATACTAATGTAAGATGTTAACTCTATATGGGAACTGTATGTACAATCGTCATAATTTTTCTATAAACCTAAAATTATTCTAAAATAAGTTTATTTAAAGAGTGCCTCCTGATCTCATTGATAACTCTCTGAAGATTACTTCTGTGACAACAGCAGAGCTCCAGTAGACAATTTGGACATCACAATTTGAGCTAAACTGTATGCCCCTAGACATGACTCCAGATGAATTCTTCTGACCTCCTGGCCACAGAGAAGATTCTGGTATCCTTAAGGACCTTGGAGACCAGGCATTTCAGAGATGCAAGTGGGAAGTAATCCTTTTTATGGGAAACGGATCAAAACTGGGAAAGGAGGGGCATCAAGGAGTACTGTGGAAACAAGTCCAGAGTGGGGTGGAGGTGTGCGCATGTGCGCACACGGGTGTGATCTCTCTCTGGGATTCCACTGTGTTTTCTCATTCTCCAATCTGCACTCAATTCCCAGCTCATGCTGCTTATGTTGCTCTGTGTCTGGGGATGACTTCTGTGTCTTATCTGCTAAGAAACCATCATCATCCCTTAAACTGCCTTCAAATTTCACCTCTTTCATGAAACTTTTCTAGGTTAGGGGCATAGGCAACACTTCTTGCTTGACTCAAATCTGTTTTTCTTAGATTGTTATATCAGTCTACAATAAAATAAATTAAAAACGAGATTTTATAAGCAATTCTGTAATCATACAGAGCCCAGTACCTGCTTGTGTTAGATTTTTAGGCTACTCCAAAAAGCCACTCACTCCATTGGAATCATTTTCATCAGGGTCCCAGTGACTCCAAGCTCGCCTCCTCCAAAGTGCCAAATCCAGTGATTAATTTCCTCATTCATTTCACGTGACTTCTCGCCAACATTTGACATAATTGTCTACTCCCTTCGTCTTGAGTGAAGAACTTTCTGTTCCTCCTGGTTTTCTTGCTACCTTGATGGCTGCTCTTTCTTAGTCCCTTTGGCTGCCATCTGGTCTTCTTACCCTGTCATGTTGCATGCCTCAGCTCAGGGCCTGGCTCCCTTCTCTATATGCATCAACTTCTTCAGTGATCGCACACTACCCCATGGATTCAAATATCATCTACAGGAATAGGCTGATGATTAACCACAGTATATCTCTAGCTCCCAACCTCTTCCCTGAGCTTCATGCTTGTATGTCCAGCATTTTACTTGATAGCTCTTCCTGAATGTCTAATAGAGATCTCTAAATTAACACATCAAATGTACAGCTCTTGTTTCCCAAGAAAGTTCAGACTACTAGGTAAAGGAGAAATGTTACTGTATCAATATTTTACTGTCTCTCAGCTCTGTGTTCCCAAGGCTAAGCTAGCTAAATATAGAAAGTAGTCATTGATAAGGGGCAATGTAGTTTAAAATAAAAAACATGAGAGATATATAAATGTTGAAAACAGAATCAAATCAAAAACTGTACATACTTTTTATTTATTAATAATAACATCTAGTGGATGCTTCTTTTGTGCCATGTACTATTCTAAGTATTTCACATGTTTTATATCATTTTATTTTTGCAATCATCCTGTAGGTAGATATTATGGCCCCATCTTCATATCAGAAAATGGAGACACAGTGAGGTTATATAGCTTGTCCAAGGACACAGAGCCAGTTAGTAATGGCTAAGATTTGAACCCAGACAGCCAAATATATGAGAGCACTTCAAAAAGATGATGGAAAAATAGAATTGAAAGATAATGCAAATCTTTTCATGAACTTTTGAAGTACCCATGTACTCTAAGGAGTCATGGGTGGCAATTACAGTGTTATTTCCTACTCCAGGGTCACGTGCCTGCTCAAATGATGTTCCATGCTTTGTATTCTAATACTAGATGCTGTGATCCTTAACCTAAAATACATTTATAAACCTCATGCTGAATGAGTAGGGCACGAAAGGAATCAAGTGGGTTCTATTATAAATAAATATTTCAGAAACTTTTTTTAAAAAAGGAATGTTTATAAATTAGATTTAAAAATATTAAGTTCATAATCAAAATAGAGGATGATATGAACTGAGTGCTGCTTCTGCTAACGAAGGCATGGAATGTGAGACAAAGGATACCTTAGAGTTTAAGCCACTGAGAAGTCTTAAATATGTGGCTCCTGTATGTTTCTACTTGACCAATGAGTGCAAACCCCCCAAATTTTTCCCTGAATGAGTTGGTATATGCTCAGTTAACTGGATCTCTGGAGTTCAAACCCCTAACTTTGCACAGCTGCCCACAGAACAGTGTGGTCTGTCTGTCCTCCCCAAGGACCCACCAACTTACTGTCCCACAGACACAGACGTGAGCCACTGGGCACTGAACTGTAAAAGCTAACAGTATTCCAGCTTTAAGCAATGAAAAATATTGGTGTGGAAAAGAAAGTTGGGAAATCCAAGTTGGCTGTTGAAAAGCACTCATTTCCACAAATACTTTATTGGAATTGTTATTTTCAGAAAATCTCTGTCAGAAAAAAAGTTAATGAAAAATCTTTTTTATGTTCCAAACGTATTGCATTATTCAGTCTAAAAGGAAAAAGTAAAAAACTTTTCAACGATCATTCTTGTCATTTAAAAAAAATTCAAACAAATTTTCAAACAAGTGAAGTCTTATAAGAGCAGGTTTTTAATAAATACTATGCGCAATACTTTTGAAATATTTTCTTTCCCCAATATAAACACACTTTTTGCTAATAACTGTCCAAAAACATGTTTATTAAACAATGACATATACACAGGACAGTGTATGGGCTACTGGTTTTGAACTAAAATATCCCCCTTATTTTGCATTTGTTATTCATTATTTATCATGTTTTTCCCATTTTTGAATAAACAGGCCAATTTTTATAAAAGTTAACCATCCAATCCAAATGTTAATGCTCGTCTAAACTTAGGTTCTTTTTTATCTTTCTGTGCTTTCTAATGAGCAAATTGTAAAAAACTGAGTGTGTAAACAGGCAATAAATATGCTATTAAAGATAAAAACATAGAAACAATATAAGCCGATGTTTTGAAAGTTCCTAGTTTTCTTGCAATCACGATAAGGAAGAGATATGATCCATATCTCTTGTATTTACTTGTTATTTAGCACTGAAGAACAGAAAAGTATAGCCAGATGTTTTAAAATAGAAACAAGCTCAGATTCCATGGAGATATCTGCTGTATGAGCCTTAAATGAGTTTATCTACTTAGGGACTAAATGAGAAGATCATTTCATTCTTTGCTTAATGAAAATGTTTTCAAGGCAGAATCTCAATAAAGAGCTATTCATATGCCTGCAAGTCTAAAAAAAGTGTTTCACAGTGAAAATCACCCATATGTACATTATGTTCTGAGAATGCAAATGCTACAAGAAGGAGGTGACCCTGACAGTGGCTCTTCAAGCCACCATCACAGAACAAGTCACAGAACCTTCCTGCCATGCAGCAGAAATTCTGAGGCTATTATAAACTGTCCGTTGGAGCACAGTCTTATAATGCCACGGTCACGGGTTCGGATCCCTGAACCACCAGCTGCCAAAAAAGCCCCAAAAGACAAAAAACGGTCTGTTAAACTAGACACGCTCTCTAAGAAGAACAGAGAATTACTTACATCTCGGAGCTCCACCACGAGGCTTCGCCTCTCCACTCCGCAGACCTCTGCCTGGCCGCTGATCCCCTGCCCTGGCGTGACAGCTGGTTTAATCTGAGAGCCGGGGTGGAATGCGTGGTCTCGCACTTGCTGTTCTTTTCCGTTTTTGAAGGGCCAGCGGCCTGGTCATTTCCATGGCAACCAGGAGGAAGCAGCCAGCCTACCAGATTCATTAACCACACAGCAGGAAGGAACCTGCCTTGGTGACTACTGGCCGGTCTTTTGGGGTTCTATGCTGCGAAGTTTCCAGAAGAAACGGAGGAGACTGCTACTGTATTCTGAGCCTGAAGGATTGACACAAATGGAAGAAATTCCACTTCAGTAGGAAATTGAATAGATTAGGTGTAAACTATGGAGACTCCTTGATAAACTTTTACCTTCGTGATCTGTTCCACTCTTTTGGGGCAGATGAATTCTTACTTATGGTAAATGCCTGCACTAGTGTAAAAAGTGTCCTATTATGGCTGTTCAAAGAGAAAATGAACTCATTTCAACTCCAAAGATGCAGTCCCGTTGTCTCTTTCTTTTTTAAGTTAATTTTTTTAAATGTTAGAAGCCACAAAACAAATAAATATGTAAAAGTATTCTGTACACATTAAACTGAGGTCTTAGTCCATTTGAGCTGCTACAACAAAATACTGTAAATGGGGCAGCTTATAAACAACAACTTTATTTCTCACATTTCTGGAGACTAGGAAGTCCAACATCAAGGAGCCAGCACATTTGGTGTCTGCTAAGGTCCCACATCCTGGTTCGTAAACAGTGCCTTCTAGCTGTGCCCTCCTGTGATGGAATGGAGAGAACTCTGATGTTTTCAGCTCTTTATAAGAGCACTAATACCATTCATAAGAGCTCCACCCTGGGAACATAATCACCTGCCAAAATCCTCACCTCTTAATACCGTCGTCACATTGGAATTTTGGGGGGACACAAATCCAGTCCCTAGCAACTGATGAGGGCTCACTAAATATGGGAGAAATCAGATGGATAGTAGCGATGGAGGAAAGTCTTTTTTTTTTTTTTTTCCTTTTTGTCTTTTTTCGTGACCGGCAACGGGATCGCAACCCTCGGTGTCGCGCCCGCACCGCGCTCAACCAGTGAGCAGACCGGTCTCTATATGGGATCTGAACCCTCGGCAGGAGCGCCGCCTCACTCCCAAGCGCCGCACTCTACTGAATGCGCCACCTGGCCGGCCCGGAAAGTCTTAATAACTAAAAACACCAGTAGACTAGGGCCATTGATTAGTAATTACTCAGACACAGATTATCTGATATTTTAAAGAGAGCACCTCACTAGGGAAATTCATTTATTCATTTACTATTTATCCAGTGAATCCTTACCACACGCATACCCTGTGCCATGAGATTTAAGGAGCACAAAGATAAACGTCATGGTTCTAGCCTTCAAGGAAGTTACACTACAGAAGAGGCAATTATATAAATTCATTGTGGAAAATGTTCGAAGGGAGGTAAAAACACAATACATGGGAGAGGACAGGGCTACTTTTTGCCAGGGAGAGGGGAGAAGTCTTTGCGGAGAGGTAGCATGTGATCTACTCATTAAGGATGGTAGGATTCCGGTGGTCAGAGGTGGGGGAAAGGATAATAATGCCTCATGGAGGGATTCTTTGACCAGTGGAGGATGGGAGCTGATGGACAAATTATTCCTCCCTTCCTGACCCAGACAGTGCTGAGGAGGTCCACATATGGCTTCTCAGAAGGTCTATGGGATCAAGGAGCTCAATCAATTGAGAAAACTGCTGGAGCAAAAGTTTGGAGATGGGAGAGTACCAGGCCTATTTGGTTATTCTGAAAGCCAGTGAATCATAGTCAGAATAAAGGAAATTGAGAACAGAGAGAGTCAACTATTGTGTTTAGTTTCAGCAAAATAAACATATGAATCCTACCATATGAGAATAGTGAAACACAGACTTTGGCTTGAATTTTTACTCTGTTACCTTCTTGCACATAATTTATATTTTATGAGCCTCGGTTTCCTTATCTAGAAAGTGAGGATAATAATACTTTGTTGAAAGATTGAGTTCGAGGATGGAAGGAGATAGTATCTGTGGATAGGATGCCTGAAGACGGGGGAGGGGAAGGCTGGCCAGCAATACACCAGGTGCCCCGACTTTCCAGAGCAATTGTGGCCAATGCAATGGTTTGGTGTACTTGACCTCTGTTCCAACACCTTTCTCTCTTGTCTTCCTCTACTATAGCGGCTGGATAGCCACAGTACTCAATTTACTAAAGTCCCTTGTATCTGTGGTTCCAGATGTGCTTTAAGATTTACTAATCATTTATACTTGAATCGGAACTGAGTCACATGGAGACAGGACCACGAGACATTGTTTGGGAGCTGAGTTAGGGGGAGAGATTGGAGAATACTGGGCATCATTTGCTGGCAGGAGTCTGAGCAGAAGGGCTGTGGTCTGTGAACTAGCCACTGTGAGGGTGGCTTTCTGATCAAATTGCTTCTTGGTTGGGGCCAATGTAGCATGACTCTGGAGCATGACTCTTCCTGTTGGAGAATGCAACTTCTTAATTCAGCAACTTCCTGATTGTGGAAGAGGCAGTGGCTCCCCTGATGACCCAATTCTGTGGTGACTTTCAGAGTTCAGCCTAGGGTTTATTTCTTCAATCTTCCCAATGACCCAAGGAACTATCCACATATCTTAAGAAACTCCTTGCTATTTTAAAAGAGCCAGAGTAGACTCTGTTGTCTATAATCAGGAACCCTGAATGACATACCAGTGACTTAGTTCTGGCCATACAAGGTAAGTGAAAGTTTGCTGGAACTGCCTCTTCTATTTCTTTATCTTAATGATTAAGACAAACAACATAGGTATTTTGCATAAACTGGGCACAAAGAAGGCATTCAATAATGGTAGTTTATATAATATAAATAATGATACCCATTATTACTGATGACCCTGATGCCTTCCAGGACCTTTTGCTGAGTGGGGCACCAGGCCGAAGGCAGAGAATGAGAGCAGAAATGTACTGGCCAGACAAACAGCTGCTGATGAAATATGGCTGGGTGTCCACTTGTGGCCTGTTAAATATTTACCACAGGCTTTATATCTCCTAATCTTGCTACAGCATTTACTTCCATTTGCTGTTTCTGTTAACTGGGTCACACAGTTTAGATTGAATTAGCAAAAAAGAGTGGTGAGTAGACTAATAAAACCACACCTTCAACAGCCCATTTTGTTCAGCTGTGGAGTCAACAAGTCGTGGACAAGTGTTTGTTCACGATGGGATTGAATTCTAGTTTTGTCCTCAACTAATTTTGTTTTCTTTCTTTCTTTTTCATTGCAAAAGCAATGCAAGCTCTTTATAGAACATTCAAATAGTACCCAATGTATCAATTAAAGATGAAAATCTACACTCACCTCTCCAACTTATCTTGCAGAAACAACACCTGCTGTAAGTCTGCATTTGAAGCAAATCTTGCTTTATTTTCAAACTTTAGCAACTGCTTTGATTGCTAATTAACATTCTGATTCCCTAAAATCTTTTACCCCAAGGCCTCCGATTCCACTGTTTTCAACGTGCTTTGTCTGTGTATTCTCATCAGAAGTCTCCACCACCACCTACTTAACTGCCTCCAAATCATTGCCAGAATCTTCCATCACTGTTTCTTTTATTCTGGGTCACTTCAGGAGCCATCTCAGGTTTTCCCTTTCCTTCTCAACCCTTTCTTTGGCAACATCAACATCCGTATTCTCAACTTGTTGAAGGATATGGACGCTCATGTCCTCAACTCATGGCCTCGATTGTGCTCTAGCTGTTGTCACTAGCATGGTACTATGCGTTCCTTCTTCCTCCCTTGCCCCTGCTCGGCTCTATTCTCACAGAAACCTCCAGACAACAGTGCCTCTGTCTTTACCTCATCTGCCCCATCCACCCTTGCCTCCATGATCCACTGCTTCCACGCTGCCCTCGCCCCACTCAGGTGACCTCCACCCATGACCTTTGCCCTGTGCTCCAGGCCAGTCCAGCCCAGATTACCCCCATGGTCTGCTTTCTGGTCTCCTACTCTTAGGGTGCAGGTGCTCATGAGAAAATGCAAAGAACCAAAAGCCCCTAATGCTCAGCTTCACATGAGCCCGACACTCTCCCACTGTTCTTTCTGTCAGCCCCTGCCAAGCGGCATCTCTAATCCACAGGTATCAAATACTTACTCCTATCACAGTGTCCCCATTCGTGTAAGAAGGCCTTGCATCTGAGAGCAGCCGGGAAGTTGGCCTGGGCTTCCTTTCCATCCTGCTCACACCAACACACTTCCTCTTAAACCACAAACATCTTGGATCTCTTATGCATCATTTCAGATCATTTCAGCCACACCTGTCTTTTATTCCATCCACCACGGAGGTGACCAGTTTTGCTATGAGTCACCTGCAAGCACCTTTTGCCTCCCACGCTAAGGCTTCTCTGTTATCACTGTGGCTTGGGACATTACAGGCACCCCTTGGCATCCTCAGTTTAACTTGGAAGTGCCAGGGAGTTAATGCTTCAATAGGGTGTCCTCTGACCAATGGGGAATTCAAGCTGGAAGATTAATGCCTCCTCCTTTCTTTCCCCAGGCAGTCCTGGGATGCATGTGATATGGCTTCTCAGGTGGTCCACGGGACCCAGCAACTCAATAATGTGCCTTGTGCTGCCTCTCACAGCTTCAGTCTCCTTTACTTTTGCTTCTTGGGGTCACAGTCCCCAATAAAAGTACTTGCAGATATCTGTATCTCTGTCTGTCTATCTATGAGAAAGAGAGAGAGAGATGTTTTCTCCTGATGTTCTGCTCTCTGGAGAAATCAGGCTACAACATATCCTTTATTCTTTCCAGATTCTAAAACAAATTCTTCCACCTGTAAGCTAAAAACCAGTCCTTCCCAACTCTTGAAGAGTTTCTTCTATAATGATGGACTTGCCTCTTCCAGTAAGTAGAATCTGATAGTTTTAAGGAATGTATCCTGAGAGCTTAAAAAATCCCACTGTTTAGAGTACCTTCCATATATAAAGTCA